CACCAAACTCGTACTCACTGGCGTCAGCTTCCTAAGCTTCTTTGCAGCATGGTCACTGAAACCTGTAGAAAATATTCAGGAAACTAAAGGTAATTATTTATACAGGGTATTTTTTAATAAAATGCTAATGCTGAAGGGGGTGATTCTTGGACCAGTTTTTTCTTAAAATGGGTCCATGAAACACCCCCTTCAGTATTAGCATGTTATTAAAAAACCCCCTGTATACACTTACTCAAAAATGTTATGCATATTAGCTGGTAATGCCAGTGGTCATTTATTATTTGAAATGTCTTATGGTAATGTTAAATTGTTTTTATTGTTAATTTTAAATGATTTTTATGGCCTTTTGGTTTTTTGTTTGAGACTAATTTTGGTAAGTAATTTTACAAATAATTCGTTATAAAATATTTATTCTTTTATGCAAAATATTTTTGAGTGTGTAATATCTTAAAGAAAAGATAATGTTATTAATTCAAATCAGGAAATACTGAGAAATAAATGAATTTTTCAATTACAAAACATGTGCTAAATTGAGGAAGTTTATTAAAGATATTCGCGACTTCCTTGTTGACAAAGTTAACGTATAAAATAATACGATAAAAGTGTTAAATTTAATAAAGTTAATCAGAGGGGTCGTTGTGAATATACCGCCTAAATTGGGAAACTCACACCAATTAGTTCGAGTTACGAAACAATCGGTAAACGAAAATTCTGACAGAAACTTGGGTTTTATTCTATTTAAATTTACCATTTCCAGGGCTCGTCTCTAACACGTATATCGGGCAACGAGCGCGAACACATCATTCAAACGAAAATTAATTTCGAACTTTTAATTGGGTAAAATTTATTAACTTTCTATCTAGTTCACAAAGGCGAGTTAACGTTAAATTACACTTTTCTGACTTCGAGCTACTGTATAGGGCTGAAATTCGGGACGCTAGCTGGCGCTAATCATTTTCCTGCTTTTTTGTTTCGCTCGAAGCTTCAAATAGAATTTAAAAAAGAAAAGAGAATGTTTTCATTTATTTCATAGTATAACTTTCGTAATAGGTAGCTATGAGATTTAAGAAAAACCTAAATTAAATATTCCTTGTTTACCTAAGCTGAAACGGTTTAAATAATTTTAAACTTTATGTGGTAAATAGAAATTTAAAATTAAAAATATATTATTTCAAAATCGGAAAACCGACTAATTTTTAAATTTATTTCATTTTAAATTTAAATTTATTCCAAATTATGAGAGAAACCTTGCAGAAACAATTGCCAAAAGTTCCTGAAGAAATTAACATTATTTGTTAATAATAATAATTATTATTATTAATTATAATTGGTTTTTTGCAGGGTGTCTACTAAAAAACCCCCAAACTTCAGGAGTTAATTACACAAATAATTTCGAACCAAAAATGTCCTATAACACTTTTTCGAAAAGTTGGTAGTTTTTCTATATTTCTCTATATTTTATCTATATTTCATAGTTAAATTTTTTGTTTTTTTTTAAAAGACGAAAATATCACTTATATTCGTATTCACATTAATTTTGATTACATACCGTAAAAATTACTACCCACTTTTCGAAAAAGTGTTTCGAAATTACTTGTATAAGTATAATCACCTCCTGCAGAAGTTTGGCGGTTTTTATAGTAGACACCCTGTATATAAACAATTTTTCTTTAATAGGTCAAGACTTTCTGGAAAATGGAAAGCCTTTGTTAATCTTAAAGGAAGAAGAAAAACGTAGGTACACGCATTATAGAGATTTAACAGTGGTATATGAAATATGTATTTGCAGGAATAGACACAAAAGAAATGACAAATCAAAATGACACGCATAGGTAATTCATAACTGTTTTAAATAGTTTTCAAAAACATACTTTAAGATAACGTTCACTTATATTAGCGTACACTAACCCACTGAATACGGGGGTAAGCCATAATTGAAAATAGACAATTTGTGACAATTTTTTTTATGTTTCAGACAAACCCAAATATTCGCATTGCTTAAATCCCCGAAATTCATCAATATCGTATTAGGTACGGCGTTGGGCTTCGCCTGCGATAACCTATTTGTAGGAGTCATTCGATTGACTCTCAATAATTTGAAATTTAGCGATTACGAAATAGCCAGAATGAGCATGGTGCATTTTGGCTGCGATCTAATCGCAAGAATAATCTACGCCATTGCAAGTGCCTATTGCTCCATCAGAAATAGATACGTCTTTTACGTTGGAACATTGATTACCGTTATATTTAGAATCGGTAAGTCGGTACTTCCCAGCATAACTTTTAGTCGTTAAATACTTGGTAATTTAATGGCAAATTTAAACAAAAATGCTACTAACTTGACAAATAACCTATTTGACATGCCTCAAAATATTCGTTACGTACGTAACATCTACGTAATGCATACGTAATAATGTATAACGTTAGCAGAAGCTCTGTTATCACATTTTATTTCTGTTATTAATTTGCAGCGTTTGTATTGCGAGACGATTACATGTGGAGGGTCATGACTTTATCGATTCTGGGATTTGCTAGATGTTGTATACAAACACCATTTTCTTTAGTAATAGCGGAAGAATATCGTAACGATTACCCTACGGCTATATCTTTATTCTTCGTGTTCAGCGGGGTGGTTTCTTTACTTCTGGGACAGATTACAAGTAAGATCCTTTTAGAAAACTCAAATTATAAGGATATAACAGATCGCTAAATTATTGGTAAAATTGCGCATTATGCTTGAATGTAAATATTATTTGTAACAATTTATATGCATAGTAATCCAGTTACAAATGTTTTTAATTTACAGATTTTGTAAAAATCGCTACAAACAGTGATGCAATGTTCCTGCAGGTTTTTACTGGTGCTATGTCTATAACTGTGATTACATGGGGAGCCGAATTTGTTTACAGTATGATAAGGAAAAGATAAATTTAATATCATTCATTTATTATTAGCTAGGATATTAATATATTCCAGTTTTGTTTGTAAGTATATTACTTATCTATTTGTTTTAAATATATTTGCCACTTTTACATATTCCTTCTTTAAATACAAAAATATCATCTCACCATAAATGAATAAAATTACTTTTTTTGATCCACTTTTTTAAAGCGACATATTTGAATTAATTTTATTTGTGCAAGATGCAACGATTTTTTTTATTTTAGTTACGTGTAGAATTAATTTTTGTTGAGCCTTTTGGAAGGGTCACACTAATTACGAGAGACACTTGATCCTCTGGCAGAAGGATATTTCGCAGAAACTTTAATTTCTGGCGGGTACGCGATGCCTTAATAAATAAAGGAGCCTTAATTCTCGCCATTAAGTTACAACAATTCTCCTGGCAAACATAATTACTTATGCAGACGGATCACGTTAAGGATAAAGGCGGCTACAAACTCGCTATTAAATAACTCAAAAGCAGCTAGTGTAGGGGACCCGCGATTTCGGCCAACTCCCCCGAAAGCCCATTAAGAGCACAATTATTTCAGATTAATAAACCCACATCCATCAATAATGGACTAATTAAAGGGTCGAAATTTAAGCAATATTTTAACGCGCAAATCCGAACTGAAATTGTTCAAAATTTAAGGTAATTATTTCTTTTCAACAATGTTATTGTACCCGACGAGTTACGAAGTAGTTTTGACCAGCAATAGTGGAAGTACTAGGTAGATGAAATTACGCGAATATCCGTTACAAAGACCGAAATTCCTCTGATGTTTCTCTTTGCGTCGAACGTAACTGTAAAATATTTTGCCCTCTCAAAGTTTTAGACACATACGCCCGTAATAAGACTATTAAAGCCAGCGAATGGCGTGACCTGATGAAAATGTACGAATGTTTTGGCTGGTACAAAATGAAGTTAGGTTTTTAATGTTAATACCTTTTGTGTGTAGACTTCTATTTTTTGCCATGAAATATTTTAATACTTTGCGTCAACTTTATTGTTATTTTCGGTTTTATGTAGGTAGGATATATGGGAAGAATTAGGAATTGTATATTGTTCTATACAATCCTTTGAAAGCTTCATTTTTAGTGAGTAGCAAAGTTATGTCAAAAATATGGATGATAGAAAATGTTAAGAAGCAGAATTAAATCATTCAAAAAATATATATTGTCAAAATTCAACATTTGTATATGTATTAAATTATTATTATTTTCTTTTCCACATGTTAGAAATGAAAATTTGAGCTCTAAATAATTCAGAGTCAAAAGTTTTCTCAGAAATTTCAGTGTGTACTCTTTAAAGGCCCAAAATTGTACGCTAAATTTTTTACTCACACTGTTAAATACAATTTCAGATGATAAAGGAATTTGATTACTAATTATAGAGAGCCCCTGAATACGTCCCCCGTTTAGAAACGTGAAACAGGTACCTCTAATTTTTAATTTGTTCTTGTCATTTTGCCATTTTACAATTTTAGAAAATTCTTAGATTTTGTAAACTCTATAAAAGTTCGGCAACACTGCCTATTTGTGACGTTGTAAATCATAGGTGACGTGCATTGATATTTGTTTTGCACCAACTGTATGTCACTATACTAAACTCCCTGTAAGAGTGCATAACAAAATGCATCACTGCAATAAATTTTCCATCGACTGAAATATAAAAAAGCGTATAAGTAATATGTGCAATTTTAAATTATTATCTTCCTCAACACGACTTTGTCGTTAACCCGGATATACGTTCACGTCGTAAAATAAGCAGCTTTCGATATCACAAAGCGGTTTAAGGGCGACGATCGTCCTTTAGATCCTGGGATTTCAGTGTATTGAGTACCATACATTAAGAAAGTATGTATTGGTATTTGACAGGTCGTTAATCAAAACGAAATTGATATTTCACGACTCACGTACTCCTTTTATGGATTTTTATTTTGCCGGGCACAATGCGGCATGACGGCGGAGTTATTAGTCCTCGGTTAATGACGGAAATTGATGAAATATTTCCTTTCAATTTTATGCTTTTTATGGGATTTGTACTTGTTTGTAAGTTGAGTTTAGAAAATAAGCTTGAACAAAAGCTATTCTTGGAAGAATTTATTCTAATAAAATTTCATTGAACAGTATTTGATTGTATAAGAAGTTGATAAAAATCCAGCTTGGGATTATGTAAAATTTAACGAATTTAGCAATCAATTCTGTTTGTCTGAATAAAAAACTTTTTTATTTATGTACCTACCTAATTACTTTAAAATACTATATGGCAAAGGTAATGTTGAGAACACCCTTGTTGTTTATCATAATATATTTTTTTAGCTTTAAAATCATTGTTTTTTGTCACATCATTTTATAACACCTGGAAAAATATAAGTAACGAGCCGGAATCAAATTATAAACGCTAGCCAGGAGCTGTTCCTGTCGAGGAAAAAATCCCACGCATGTTTTTCATTATGACACGACGAGGATTAACCCAGACGTGTTTTGGAATTTTGGGAGCATTATGCGAAAAAAATTCACGCTTTCGGGGCGATTTTTTCAATAACATTAGCCGGAAAAACGGAAAACAAAGATGGCAAACGGCTCCAGGTAAAGAAAATGATGAAATTTCCGAACAGAATGGGCTGTATTAAAACCATCCGTACAAGAAAAGTCATCAAGCAAGCCCACGGGCCATTAGCTGGGAAAATAAGAGTTTTCAATTTCCATCAGATGCGCCAGACGAGAGTCTGTCATCTTGGATTGTATTTATTTCGGAAGTGACTAGGCGTAAAACGGTCGTTAATTTAAAAGAAAATCCATCAGTTACAGACACAAAGTTCATTAGAATCATGAATAATTAATCAATCATCATATTTAATCTACAATACAGCGATAAAAAGGTAATACTTTATTTTTTTAATGCGTGTTTTTGCAACTATATAATTAGTAGTCTAGAATATAAATAATTCATTCATTTTTAATGAATTATTGATCAATGTTTTGAAGCAAAATCAGCTAAGAATGTCTCTAAAAAATCATAAAAACTTTAGTGATAAAAATAATTTAGTATGCTAACACTAACACTAGATTTTCAATACATTGTACAACATTGTATACGTATGGAAATAATAAAATTTTTAAGCGTCCTGCGGGGCGGATGATTCGCCACCGCCGGGTCTTAATCTTATATATGAATTTCTGTCGACGTTTCGTAATTGAAAGTGCGATATTTGAATATCGAAGCGAGAAGGAGATGCTAGGAATCGATTATTCGTCTGGAATTTTTATTGGATCCGATTGCACAGGGAAGCAACTTATATTTCGGAAAGGCGATCAGTAATTTACTATAAATTCCATCTCGAAACGACATTTTTTAACGATTATTGGAAATTTGCTAAAGGAAAATAAACGGTTTGAGGAATCCTCGAAATCCCCCTTCATATACCCCAAGGAATGCTGCCTACTATCTAATAAATACCAACGGTTCAAAACACCATCATTCATTCTTTAAATAGACATTAATAGAGACTATAAACTTGCTTGATTTTTGATACTGATACTGTCATTAGCTTCTGTAACGTCTCCTTTAATGAACCGATTAATATTCAGTTCAAGTTTTTCGAGCTAATGGATTGCGGATTAAGCGGAGCATCGTATGTCATAAATGAAGTATTCTGTTAAAGAGAATGCCCGACAAAGCCCTAATCACATCCATAATAGTGCTTTACTCGATAGCCTACAATCTGGCCACATAGTCAGAGACATGGTGAATACTAGTATGTGTTCCTGGAATATGAATACTGTTAGGTTTACGATATTGAGTACCTGCTAGCTGGATATTAAACCCGTACATGTATTCCCAATCGCTTTATTGACGTGCTGATTCTAAAGGATTCCAGCACAAATTATGAGGATTTATACATTAATGTTTAATATTTATAATCATATGCGAGGTAATGGTTCCAGCTGGATGAAGTTCTTAGTTCTGGATATCCTGTACATGATCTATATTATACGTGTCGCATGAAACTTTCCCAGTTTATCTTACTAAAACTTTTCATTCTAACCATACTTTATGGCGAGTTTCTGAAGACACCTACCTAAAAGGTAATGTAAAGGGGCACTTTGAGATGTAAATTGAATTACTTAAATAAAAGTTCCTTAAGGAAGGGTTTCGAATTTTACGAAAAATGTTATTCCCAATGCCTAAGGCAACTTGTGTAGTTTGATTCGCTTATTATAGTAAATGTATCAGGAATTTAGGCGTCATCACCCGCGCGAATTTTCCCATTTCCTTCGATTGGTAATCGCCGGCGAAAACTCAATGAGTGACGTCGATCGCGAGTACTCCGTACGCCGTCGTTGCCTCGGCAACCGCCTCTCGCATCCACATCATTGACCTAATGTTACAATTATTCGGCGGCGTACAGAGAGTGCTCTAATATGCAATTACATTATTAAAATGGCTGTCTGCAGTTCGGATCGGCAGCCATTGATTCCGAAAGGTCGGTGTGTCATGACCTAATTGTTAATTTGCAGTCGCCGCCCAGGGGCGGCCACTTTCGGCTCGATCCGGCGGCCGGAGAAGGATTTTCCTGCTCGATGGATGCCGGGGAATTAAGGAAATCGGAAATAAAAATAGGTAGAATCAATCTTGTTAATTTTTTGTTCACATGAAGGAGCCTATCTTCATGGACCATCATTGATTTTTTTGCACGATAAATGCTGGTTGTACATTACCGAATTAAGGTGAGCCAAAGAAAAAGAGATATTTATACCTAATTCATAATTTTTCTCAATCAATTTTCACAACCAGATATTAAAAGACAAACATAGAGCTTTTAAATTATTTTATGTTAAAATAATAATCTCCGGAGTTAAACTTGGTGTAGACAGTTAAATCATCACAATCTGGGTTTTAATACAAATTCTATTCTGAGTACATTGTATATGCAAAATACTGTGTAGAATAATCAATTGCCTTTAGACTATCTAGATTTCAAATCATTTCAACATTATTTTATCAGTTGTCTATTAACTTCATTAGTTTCTAAATTGAAAGCACGAAATTTAAGACACCTTCAGAAAATTTGTGTTTATTATAAATACATAATAGGATTAGTAGACTAAATAAAATGCACTGTAGTTACCTCTTAGAGGAGGCTTTCGAAAGGCGTCGAATTTCGGATGCGGTGCAACGCGCAAGCGACGCGTGCCGAAACTGGAAACTACATGGAAAGCGCGAAGATGAAGAGCCCGAGAATTGACAGCGGGGCTAGTTGCCGGATTCGCCTGGAAAATTTGGAAACGCTCTCGGCATTGCCAAGCAAAATGTTGGCATTCAAAAAATGAGAATAAAGATACATAAATGATTCCTATAGAATCGTGTGCAGCTTTTTAAGCTCTATGGCAATAAGCAGCTTTTTGGGTAAATATTTAATTCGAAATTTTGAGCTGGCTCACTTTATTATAGGTTGATTGTACGATTGATTTTAAGATGAATATTGAACATATTTAAAAAAAGATTCATTTCAGAAACTGGGTGATCCATGTCAAAAAACGTTCCTAAACATGTTGAAAACCATACCATTGTATCAGTATTATTGCGATATTCCCATGCAACAGAAATTTCGTGAAATACCAAACAAATTTATTGCAAATCTCCAGCCGGATTGAAAAACGGCATTAGCGCCTGCTAGTCATATTTTCCTGAATATACAAATATGTATATATCTGACAAATAATCCATATTTATGATGACCCAAATAATATTTCAGCATCAATTTCTGACATTGCAAATTAAATATGCACCTGAACGGCGTTCTCGAGCGTGGTCTATCTGCAGGATTTCGGATGCTCAATCATTGACGAACGTGACTATGGAATACGGGGCTTGCAGTTTCGAATCAATTCGGATTTTGTTGGAGGCGCATTCGTTGAATGACGTTCGAATTATTTTTAGTTGATACCATTTTTGTTGGGCCTTTATAATCGAATTCTGTTATTAAATTTATCTACTACTCATCTAGATGGCGATGCGTTAAATACTAATAAAAAATCATATAAATGTACCTGCCCTCCTAACAGTTCATCGTTAGTGAGATGCAGAAAAAATATCTTTCTTTTTTTCAGGTTTTCCTTAATGTTTTGAAAATCGTTTGATTTATTTTGGATTTTAACATTTATCCAGAGGTTGAGTTATGGGGTCTGTTTTGGATTATTTATCACTCCAGCTTTTACGCCACTGAGCACAGACCATTTTTATAAATATTTATGAAATTCTCTTAGATGTTTTGAATACAAAAAAATGGTTGCTAATCGAAAAGTATAGTACTACATACTACTAAATTTGCTCTTCTATTTACCTTGTATTATTTCTACCCTATTATTATTCCTTCTTAAAGAGACAAAATAATATCACAAATGGCATTAAATGGAAATAATGGTACAAATGGAACTAAAAGGACCCATCAACAATGGAGAAATATGTTAACTGGAATAATTTGTTTAACCTATTATGTTATGTTTTTACCTATAAACTTTATGGAAATTCATCTTAGTTGCTTACAACGTCAATTTTACTAATGCGTTTTTCACGATTACTCAGTTTTCACTACCTCATAAAATATAGTAGTGAATTACAAGCGCACCCGTAAATTCTCATTTTTATGACTTCCCAAATTTATTCACGCTCCACTAACCACTATCTTTCAATAAACAACAACAAAAACCAATAGTTTTATCGCACGCCATTACCTGCATAAGATCAAACTTACGCTACGTTCGATGTTTACTCCGTAAAATAATAATTAAAGGATAATTGTGCGAGCTTCCTTACTCCTTTGCGCGAGTTTCGTTGCTACCTAGTTTGATGTCCTTTGTCTGGAGAGCGTTCCATTCCAGGGCCCCATCCGACGGGTTTGTGTTAGATGACGATGTACTATAGAAACGTCAATCATACGAAAACGATTATCCCGCAGAGCATGGAGAACATCGTCACATACGCGGGATTATGTGTCTCTAAATTGTGCACACGAATTTCATGGTAGAAGTAGGTACATTCCAAGCTCCTGCAACAGTAGATGCAAGCCTGCGACTACCGAGGATTTTCGGTAAATTTTCTACAAATAGGATAAAGGGTTTCTTTCAATACAATTGGTGGAAAATCGGTTTAATTTTGTTCAGTTGGATTTGTAAGAAAAATGTGTATGTTAATGCCGTTCTATTTCTATTACCAATTTGCGGTTACAATTGTGTGCACAAATTTTATTCGAGTTGTAAATTTTCGTTACGCAGAATCGGTTCTTCGACGTCTGGTAGTGATCTTCCCATTCTTCCCATACCGGGAATTCCCATTCTGCCTCTTTGGGCAAACGTTGTTCCTGCGGCCAAAGCCAGGACAACGAAGCATACCTGGAATAAGTTCAATAAGAGTAGATAAAGCCAATAAATAAGGACAAATAAGAGCAATAAATTTGATACAATTTCAAACTCAAATTATAGGTAGTTAAACTACGTTTGTACCGACAATTTATTATAAATATATTAAATTGTATGATCTAAAACGTGCTTAATTCATATTAAATGCAATCATTTACAAATTAAATACATTTAAGAGCTTTATGAAAAATATAAAAACTAACAGTTAAAAAAATTAAAGCTTACCTGTAACAGAACACTGAACAATTTCATGATGCAATATTTGATTCAATTATTGCATTAATACTACACGGAGTTTTTTAAACAGTGCTTTATTTATACCCATAGCAAATATTATTTGGGGAAATAGATACTCGCATAGACAAAGGTAATTTCATTGTTCTGAAATGGTAGGAAATTATTGTTTTCGCGTGGAAACGAAAACTAATTACCTTTGAAAATAACGGTAATTATATAAACTAGGTGTTAGGTGTATTTTATGAAAGTAATTATTAACGGCAACGATTTTGAGAAAATTGGCGCTTTGTTTTATGCGCGCGTGAAATTACCGATGATTAATAAAATTATGACACAAAGCACATGTTGTTTTAATTTAATAACGTTTGTGTTTTATTAACGTAATTTTTTTATAAAAGTAATTGATAAATACCTACATAAAGCCATTAAGCTAGGGTATGATACATAAAATTATGTAGGTTATTAATTAAAATTGTTAACTAATATAATAGACATTTTATAATTTACCTATACTCCATTTAACGCATTATTTATAAGTGTACCTAAGTATACATGGGAATAAATACGTGCAGGATTAGGAAACATTTTTGATTATTCAAACTCGCTGTTCCATGTTTAATTCGCTTTCAAAGCTTTAAAAAGCTTCCTCTTTGGTCCTTTTACTATTTTAAAATCGAAAGCCACATCCTAATTTTAACATCAAGCGATGTTTTATTTATAAAAATCGAAGTGGATATCCACTATCAGGATCACGAGCATCCAATGGACCATAGAATAGCGACAAAACGAAGATCGCATCCTTCTTTATGTATTTTCCAAGAGTGCCGGCAAATATTGAGTAGATCCGATGATACGGCCGTTAAGCTCGCCTTGATTTCGCATCGGGCGTAAATAGTAGACGAGGTCGGAAAAATACTACTAAACCTACCTACTAGATACTAGATACTAGATACTAGATCATGCATCAAAAATGCGTTAGATAAAAAACGACGTGAGGTGTATGTTAATTTTCTTATGGAGGTTACTGCTTATGGAGGTCTACAAAAGTAATACTTGTCTCTATACTTATCAAAATTTCAAACAATTATAGATTTTTATTGCGACCTACAAATGAAAAGTTTGGGACACCAATAAAATCAATAGATCTGTCCCAATTAGAGATATTTGCTTTGTGAAAAATTGATTGCAATGAATTAGAAATCCTGAAATGGTAATACATCAACGAAAGGAATGAACTCTTAATTGGTTACTGATTAGTTATTGTATATAAACTTTTACATATTAACGTTAATTGTCTTTCTCTTGCAAAACACAGAACCGTCATCAGATGTCCAATTTATTGCTGGAAATTTGAACTTATAGCAACACACATTTTACCGGATGAATGATGATTAGGCGTGCGAATGTGCGCGCGTTAAGGGTGCTAATTTTGGGGCGCATCGCGCCTACTAAAGGAATGCAAGCAGGAGCAGGACTTCGCGGAGGATGGTAGAAAGGCGTGCGCATCCTGATGGCATGGTAGCAGCATCCAGCGGGATAGTCGGTGTTTAGAAGCCGTCGGGACACGTTTTTCATCTTCCGCGGAAATTCTGTGTGACCTCTGAATGGTGTGAACGAAGCCATGGGGTAGCTATGAGAAAATTCTTGGGTATATGGTGCTGGATTGCGCTCTTCCTTTCCTCAGGTGAGTGTCCGATTTTTTTTTCGTGTATTGATGTCGCTCGTTCGCCGGTAATGCCGTTATAACCTTACAAATTTTTGCGACTGGAACGTTGGAAACTTGCCAACAAGTTAGTGCGCGATAATGTACCGTACGAGTAACTCATAATTTATTAAAAATGAAAATGCGTTTTCTCGAATATCGCTGGTGTTTATAAGTGGGAGGCATGAATGTTTCAATATATTCGCGATGGTTGGTTGCTAAGGCAACGACAACAATTTTTTAGAGCGCTCAATATACTGGGAAATTTTGTTATGGAAAAATAAAGATTGTACACATCAAAAATTTATTAAGATTACTAATAACTAATATTAAATTATTCTTAATTATTGTTTATATTTTTTTGCGCAAAAGTTCCATCTCATGTAATAAATAACTATAATTTTCTAAGAGAATATTTTTAAAAATTTGTCTTATTAAATTAATAAATAATTTAAGTTCTAATTTTATTACCAACATCTTCTTTCTCTTAGAGAAAGAAGCCTGCAAAGATATGCAAGTATAAATATTGAAGCAATATAATGAAAATGCTCGAGTATGGGATGTTAAAAAAATCTCGAGTTATTAAAGCTCGCAATTTTTTACCTTCGTCTTAGCTTCTGCAATAACGCGAGGACGTATAATAAAAATGAACGGAAAAGCATGAGAAAAGCGTAACAAAGAACCGCAAGAAAATAACCGTGGAGCATGTGTTTAATCCATGGAGATATATTTTTATTTGAGGTGAGAAAATATATTTTCCGTTATTTATAGCCGTTGTGTTTCTTTTGCGAATGATATATACATTTCGTGCGAGAGTCTTCCTTGTGGAAGAAAGCCCATTCGCAAGAAAAAAACGTTTTGGGTATTAAAATGGTTCATTACTTTTATTTTGTTCTACCAGAATAAACTCGCAAGGTGCACGAAAATATTTTTAAAAATAACTATTTGCTGATACAGGATGTCCATGAATGTACTTGGGGTGCTCCTGTCTGGGCTCCTTTAATTTTTCAAATTTATAATTGGTAAATAATTTATTTATGCAATAATGGAGATTAATGAGTAAGTGATTAATAGATGGCGCTATTAGATACATAATTGACTCTTTTGGGTTCACAAATTAATCTCTTACTGAAATGACTCTTTTAAATACCTAATTGACTTTCTCAATTGGAGTTATATTGACTACTTAGAAGTATAACAACCTTCCAGTGTAAAATGTAAAACAGAAAATAATGTGAAAACCTATTTTTTATTTTGGACTAGATAAACAACAATACCGTCATTAATACGCCACCGAAATAATGTTGACTCCATTCAAAAAACCATGTTCGGTATTAAAACATTGAAAAAATCCTCCACTGCAAAATGTTCATTCGTATTTATTTGTTCCTTTCGAATGCACGTCATACAAAATCCGTCAGTGCATTCATTGCAAAAAACGAGTACGAGCTCGCTTGCATAAAGCATTTTAGAATAAATTAACGGACGTATTTTATTCTATTTATAGTAGAACCATTTTCGATATATTTAACCGGCCGTAGGTGTAGTTTTCAGTGAACAAATCCCTATGTTTGGCGAAAAATCTAGTAAATCCAAATCGGTTTAAGTTTGTCTTCATACGCTTAAATACCAGCGACAAGCTTTCAGATTATGTACATCAGAAAACGTTAAATAAATAAGAAAATTATTTCGTCTGTAACAACTAAATTAGAAATTCCATTTCCTCACCAAAGATTTTTTTAATATTAATAAGGGTAAGACTAGTTATTGTAAAATTGTATAAAAATATGAATTTGGGACGTCCTGTAAATCACTAAGGTTATATAATTTCAAGGATGATCCTCCGTGCTTGTTATTTTGTCGATGGTTCATTAAACCGCACGGTATGTAACTTAATTCGAATTACTATTTTTCCATCTAGTTTCGCTCCGGAATAACGCGTTTTCTCTCCTGGGAAATTCGTTTTGAAAATCGTTTACGAGGAAGGCGCAACTTATGATCAACTCCTCGATATTTATTATAAAAATGTGTGCTCCCCGTATCCGACAACAAGAAATGAAAAATTAAATATTCAGCAGCGAGATGACGTATCATATCAATTTCCCGGCGCTAAAATTAAATTTTGAACTTCAGATAAAGACGCGCCGTGAGAAATATTTCCCGGCGGTTCATTAAATATTCGCTAAGTCGATTTTTAGACGACGGAAATTATTTTTTACAAAAGAAAATCCGCCGAGCGGCGTCGAGTGCTGGGTGAGAAATTTGTTGTCTTAGTTTTTCCAAAGGAATATGCGTTTATTACAACAGCCGACGGGGTTTCTTGTCAACGAGCCAACGGTGCAGCTATTGATCAATATTTCCCAGAGCTCTTTGCATTACTTTGTGTAATTTAATGTACCTATTAAGGACGACATTCTGTTAAACGATCCGTACGGGTTTACTGTATCATAGGCGTTTTTAAGGTATCCATGCACTTAATTTTAGCGATGTTCATTTATATTCTAAGGGTTTCCTTTTAAGTTTCCGAATACAGTTACCTACTCATATACAGTGTGCATCAAAAAAGTTGGGTCATAAATTATATACTACATACTCTATGATCAAAATTAAGTCGATTTGATCATATTTACCTATATCCAAAATGGTTCTAGACAGTTTTAAATGATTCTGGAACGTTATATACAGTGCTTTTCACGGAAACCGTCTATTAGAATTTATGGAGTTCCCGATTAGTTACAATTCTGAAAATTTAGGAGTAAAGGATAATCAATGTTGAGTTTTTCCATATGTAAACCATGCACCGTACCAAATGTGACATCCAGTTATATCGAAAGTAGATGTCAACTTTGTTATTTCAAATGGAAAGTACTATTTATGACTTCATTTTTGGATTCTGTGGCTTTTTTAACTAGACTTTGATAATAGAACCATAGCATAGACCTATTAATAGGTCTATGAACCATAGGGATTCCAAACATGCACCACTTTTGAGTCATTTTTTTCTAAATTTTTTGACACTGTACTTAATGAAACTAAACTGAGCTTTCATGGTACATTTACAAGGCTAAATTAATTAGTTAAATCTCCATAATAGCTAATAAAAAAGTTGGAAATTAATTTGGTTATTTTCAAAAAACTTTTTGTAGGTCAACGATCCTGCTATTCTACGCCAATAAACCAGATTTATCGAGCTGTTTGTGTGTTTGAGAAATTCGATAGTGGCGTTCGACTAACGAAATAAAACGTACGTCCTGAGCTTTCGCGTATAAAAGTTCGGCAGTTTCTCACATCATGCAAACACAACAGTAAATTTCGTTATGGCCGATGTACAACAATACCTGTACCGTTTCGTCGGTGAAATTTTCAAATATATACCGCCGAATAGAATCAGACGAAACGAATTTGTGGATAATGTTGATAAAACAAACTTTTACAAAAAGAAAATTCCTATTGAATTAGACACAATATGAGTCTGAATAAAATGCAATAACAGAGAAAATATATGGAGTAACTGAATATATGAGATGGATATAACACTAATTTATTCGAATGAATCAGTAATAACAGCTCTTTCAGCAGATTAAGCAGTTCTTGTCTTGCTCATTCCATCATTAATTTTTTCTCTCAATGATTTGTGTTGGGTTTTTAGTACTCATCAATACATTTAATTAAGTTCAATTCGATCGACATTCAGCTCGGCTATTCCTCTCCGCTCCATTTATCTGTCGGACCTTCCTGCTCTATGCTACATATTTACTCGTGTTGCACTGTATCAAATCGAGGACGTAATCGCTTTTCCCCGAATACGGCTCGGCCGGTTGGTATATTTATTAGCAGACGTGTGTGTTTCGGACATTCGCCGGAAAATGTCGTCGGTGGAAAAAGAAAACGAGATATTTAGGTTTGGTCCAGACCACTTTAGGTAATGGACATCTAGAGCGGATGAAAATGTCCGAAAAACTATCGGAATCATCAATGTTGTCAGTGGCAATTAACTGGACAATAACGGTCTGAAGAAGAAATTTAATTTTTTTAACCTGAAACTAATTTAATCTTGAAATGAAGCACACATAAAATCAAATTTGTTAAAATGGTCTAAATGGATAAACATTTCAAGGCATATTTTTTAATTGGTTATTGGATTAGACTTGTTCATTGAAATAACGTTATAGTAAAGTAACTTCAGTTTGAAATCGGTTCAGAATCCCTCCCTTATGTATTTTCGAGTAAATTGCCCGATGTGATTTAAATAAAAAATGAGGATAAAAAAAGGAAAAGCCCGACTTTTTAAGCAAGCAATGCTTATTGAACTCGCGCTTCGTTATTCTCTTTTTCGAAGGAAAACTCGCAAAAAAAAACTTTTACCCAGGAGATACTCAAAATTGTATTGACCTAATCCGCGGAGATGAACTGGTCTGAAAAAGGGAACGAGAAGTAAGCAGAAAATATGGTCATTTCCGGCGGATGTCACGATGAGGCCAAATGGGGTACTCCAAGAAAAATCTCTTTCTAAAAAGGCAATTTCCACAAAAACGTAAATAAATTCAGAGCTCATTTTACTCGGCGAGGGGATTATTTATAAGGAGTTTTGAATTGTCGGTGACTGCAATCTCGCGTAAGTAGTCGTTCGGACCAAAAATGCATTTATCGGATCCGAAGAGGCGGATTATTTCCCTAAAGGCAGTAAATATTTATTATATGAATTTCACAATAAATTTCAACCAAAAGCTGGTAGATTTTTGTATTATGATATAAAAGATTCGATGATAAATACGAGTAGATATAATTGAAAATCATGAAGGTTGAGTACAAGTATACAGTAGACCCTAAAATTTAAATGTTGAAGTTGAATTTGAATGTTGAAAAATTGAAAATAGTCCTGTATATAAAAAAGTTTTGGAGTTTTCTAGTTTATCTTGGACAGTTCCAATTAGTACTGAATATGTCCTCAAATAATTTTGGACAGTTCTAAATGGATCCTCTGTTTCCAATGGTCCTGGTCAGTTCTAAAATGGTTCTAAATGATTCCTGGACAATTCTAAATGGTTTAGATACTCCTCTTTCTCGCACTTCTGTTATTCTTATATGTCCACATCGCTGTAGACCGACCCTGTATATGTATTTTTAAAGACCAGCTTCACACGTATTTACCTGTAATAAAACTATAATCTTATAAACACCGGTCCACTCGTAACTAAACCATTTAGATAAAAAACGTAATCCCCTATCTCGAATTTATCTACTCTACCCGGCCCCTTGTTCCTTGTTATTACTTAACAAGGAATAAAAACCAGCTATATCCTATTTTCGCGCCCCCAAAACAAACAAGCCAATAAATCTGCGAGATTTTGCTTACAGTACGAATGAGAGGGATCGGTGACCCAGAAAAGTATCCAAACAACTGTCAAGACTGCCAAGAAATAATGCCCAGGATATGAACAGTGAACGTTCGAACTCTCCCTGCAGTATCTGAAAACGATGTAAATTGGGAAGATAATTTCGTTGTTCGTTCATCCGATAGAAAAATATTGGAATTTCGCGAGCAATTTGTTTTTATAGCGACCCAGCGCCAAATTAGATTGACGTTTTGTTTGAGATGAACTATAGATTTTTTGAAGACAACGTTGCCAGATGCAAAATGATCAACATGTGACGATTTATCTAAATTGGTTGAGACCTTTTAATGTTTTTTTTAATACTGCTAAAAGTATATCAAAGCTATTTTAAATTACTGAAAGTTATGATTTTACAAATGAGGTCTCAATAAAAAAACTTGTAGCAATTTTTGAAGTATTTGATGTTTTTGAAATGGAAATTAACGATGCAAATGAATTGATATAGTAAATACATTTCTAAAGCATAAAACGCGAATTTAATAGACCTATATTTCCCGCGGCTTTTCCCGGAAAATTCGAGCAGTTGACGAATGAGGCCTGCTCTGGTAAAATGGAATTTTTACCGTCTCGAATGGCAGCAGACCCACTCGAGTGGAGTGGATGAAGTTCAAGAGAACCCTGGCAACTAGTTTTTGAAGTTATGCAGGTTGCGCCGGCCGGTTTTGTTACGACAATGCCAGTTTTAATTATAATTATGGGGCTTCACGTTGAACTCGGCGGGAAACTCGGAGGGTATTATATTTTAGACGCGTTTTTACTCCCGTTTTAAAATGTTTTAAAAGAAGGGAGGTTCACGAGAGCCGTCGACTTGGGGCGTAAATAATTAAAAAAAATCTCCCTGAAATTTTCTTTAATGCATAATATCATGATCAATTGACCTAAATGAGCAACATTCGTGGGGGGAAACAAGATGAACAGCGACAACTTCTGTTCCGCAAAGTGTAAAATGTTAATCATCAAGTGCTGAAAAAAATATAAGGATGATAATAAATATTACTTTACCAAAAGTTGTAAACGTAATCCAGGATTGATAAATTAGGAACCCCGGCTTGCCACTAAGGATTTTTCCACATAAAAACAATATAAACCCTAACGAGTCCCTTGATGTCCCTTCATATAAACCTTAATAAAAGTTTACACAATTTTTCCTTCGTCTTTCATTCTATTCTTCCTTGTTACATGCTACATATAACTTTATCTTATTTCTTAATTAATGAGTATGTCTAACATTAATTTATCTTGAAAGTAATTGGCTTTATTTGGCGAATACTAACTGATGAGCCCTTGCAATTATGTGTTGCCGAAAATGATATATTAATTTACAGCGTGTACAAATATACTCCGTTAGCAATCCGGAGATTGAAATAAAACTTTGTATGCAAAAGACAGTATGAGTGATCCAATGAAAATACCGAAAAAAATTCAAAAATTAGGCTTTTATCATTGTGTAATGTTTATTTTACTTTAGTGGTGTCACTCAGTTTATCGGGTATTTATTTAACAATAGGCGAACATTTTCTAATCCTAGATAAAGTGAGATGGGCACAATGCACAGTCGTGCTATTGTTATTAATTAGATACATAAGAGATATAACAAAATTAAAAATTACAATAAAATCTAATTATTAATTCAATAGTACCTACATACTTCTTAATTTTTTCTTGGCGAGTCTAAATAAAAGTTTCTTGTATTTTTGCATTGGGTTTCTTTTATAAGTGCGATAATATAAGGAGAAAATTATTTAACTTAAAAATTATTTTGACAGTAAAGTGTAAATAGAAAATCCCAATTTGACGACCTAAAATCCATATAAAATATAAAATATTTGTAAATGTATATTTAGGTGTGTACCTGTAAATAAGTCGTCATATTCAAATTATACAAATTGTAAGTATTTAGTGTTAATTCCTGTTGGCTATGTAGCAATACGAACAATACGTCCTTCTTTATCACGTTGTCGTCAATTGTCCTCCAATTTGATCGGTATAAATATTCCGGAAGAAGATTCACTTGGTAATTGAACAAGCTGCCGATAATGCAATAAAATGCCAGCTGTTCCAAATTTGCAGTTATGGCACACAAGGCTATTAAAGTATCGAAAATTGTATGTGCAGTGTAAGTCTGGAGAAAGAATTATTTTTTTAATTATTTTTGTAATAAAAAAAGAAGCTACCATTGTGACTTACCAATTTGGCTAGTAAATAAACGATGAAACATATTCCAAAAATACTGCTGAATAACTCCACTAATACTATTAAATTAAAAGCGTTGTTTACTTTTTTGGTAAATCTAAAAATTAATAAACCTTTAATAAAATTACTCATCTTATTAACATCAATCCCACTTGAGAAGAAGGTGGTGGTGCTTCACACAATTTTTCAAATAATTTTTAATTGTGATATTCGATGTAGATGATTTACAGTTGTTAATTTCGTTCAGTTTATTATTTATTCCTACCATTTCCTTTGAATTGAATACCAACAGACTTTCCTGTAAAATCTTGTACTGAAAGATTGCGCAGGATGCGCAACTTAAATATAAAAAATCCGTCCCGATTACGCAAAACAAAAATAAAATTTGAAAGGTAATAAGCTGTGAAACATATAGGAGCTCAAAGATTGGCGAAGCTCTCCAATTGAAAGGATACTACAAGAAGTTAATTAATTATTCTGGATGTTTGTTCAATTTTCATATACCTCAACGTTAAAGGGTAATGTTTTTTCTTCCATAAAAAGTGGTGGTATAAAGCAAAATAAACCAAATAATGACGTTATTCCAAGGAAACCAAAAGCGATCATCAGGATAACGAAGTAAAAATTTTTGATTTCTTTCGGTAATTCATCATTACTTGTTAAATCGCTGGGCCAAAATTTCAGTAAAATATCGTCGATTATGTCAGCTATATCATTGGATTTGTAAAATAATATTATTCCTTTACAGATGGTCTATAAAAAGATATTTTCAAAAGTATTTTAATTTTAATGGTTTTAATGTGAACATCGACTATTCTAATGTGATAATTTTAAGAAACTGCAAATTGATTTAAAGATATGAACCAAACAAGAATGAAGAGTGGATAAATTTTAAAGTTCAATTAAATATATTATTAAATATCATCATTTAAATTAAAATAATCTGTAAGTAGACCTAAAAAAATGGTGCAACAATAATTTAATATTTACTTGAATGCCTCCTACTATTATGATGAAACCATATAAATTTTTGCTAATTGAATCCAAATTGAATTCGAATTTATTTATTATCCCGAATACTAAAAAGCATATTAGTGACGTGGATGTTATAGTAAATAAAAACCTGCTTGTTTTAGATATGTTCGTTTTCGGCCATAATAAAACAGTTCCCAGTAATAATTTGGGAATCCATATCATTATTTTACCGTAGTCTTTGGTTTTTATGATTTTACTAGCGATATCTGAAATGAATAATTTTGTAGTTAATGAATGATAATATCAAAAAATAATTTTCACAATCTCATTTAAAAGTGAGTGTTGCTGGTGAATTAACTTTTACTTGCCTTCAGTAAGCATTATATTGCAATTTCAATTCTCAATTCAACTGAACAGCAACCGTTATGAACAAAATGTTATAGGATTATTAATTTTAGTATAAAATATATATTTTAAAAGTAATGTAAATGAGTAGTAATAATTACCCTTTTCATTAAATAAATAATTGTAGGTAATTAAAATTGGAATAATTTATAAATCTTCAAAATGTAGTCGATGAAAAATTAATTAATTCAGATATTAGCTCTTTGTCGTTCCCTCCTTGAATCATTTCGAAGCGAAACGAATGGGATTAGAATTTAGACTGCCTACAAGATTGGCGGAAAATTTATTTATAAAACATTTCAAAGAGCTACCCAAAATTTTTTGAAATTCAAAGTAGTTGTTGCCTCAAAGAAAGTTTTCCCAAGTTTTCCCATGTGTCATGACTTTTCTCCACCTAAAATTTTTATCATCTTGTACAGCATTTCATTGGCATACGGAAAAAATTGAACTATACTATAACACTCTAGTGTAAACTATAATCTATGTATAGTGCGTATCTACAGTGTAGATAAATATTATCTTTTGTTGTAAAATCGTTTGGTATTGAACCATCTCCATTGAGCATATTATAATTTGCGATAATATTACCTATTCAGATTATCATTAGCTCAAACTATATCAATAATTCAAATGTTGCCTCGTCGGGCGTGGACAGGGAGATAAATAATTCATTTATCACATTCACGTGTAAAGTCCGTAGTGACCCAGTTATTGACCGAATACTAAACTAATTTGCAGTTGCACTGCAAGAATTTCTTATTTATTCGAAACTATATGGTGAAATAGCAGCTAGACTGTGAGAGAGACTTTAGAATTTACCAAGTTGCTTACCTAAATGGCGAGACTGATTTAAAGCAGTTCACCCTTACTTGGTATAATAATTCTCCCGAATAAATGATGTTATGTGAGTTTCAACTTTAACAATACAGTGCTAATTGCTGCAAATTAGCAGCTCTAACATACACGGCAATCAATATCTCCAAAATTGTATTATATGTGGTTTAAGCTTGAAAAGAAAATATGCACTCATATGATCATATGAAAATTGGATACAAAAAAAGTATAAAAAATTCTGTTCATAAAATAAAGCCAAAGTTTTGTGCTTGAAATGACGAGCTATTTATTATTTATCACTTAACACTTTGGCTAATAAATAAACGACCAAATTTTTCCAAAAATGAAGTGTAAATATTACTCATCTTCAAGAAACATTGTTTTTCAGTTAATTTTCCGAAACTCCAAAATTGCAACAAAATTATATTGTCCACTAAAGAGATTTAAACACCCAAATCACATTTTGCAGCGCATAAAAATCATTCTTTTAGATTATTTTCTCCTCCATTTTCCTCATTACAATATCGTTTCTCTTAAATAACAACTCCACGTTTAATTTTAATGCAAAAATTTGTTTTCACAAGATGTTTCACAAACGATTTTTAACTGATGATTTAGAAAGGAATTAAAAAAGAATAATTTTCTGCTTATTTGGTTGTTTTTTAGACTCTGGAGGTGAAAACATTATTAAAATTATGCACAGATGCCTGTTAATGTAATTACTGGTTACAAGATGATTTGAAGAATTAACTGATGATAGGGCGAATATCACTAATTTTGATAATCACAAGTGTTGGCCTCATGATTAATTATTTTTAACCTAAATTAAAACTAAATTTTTAATTCAATTTTACTCTATACCCTAAACATAAGTAGTATAGAACCTACAGGTAAACTAATATTCCTGAATAATTTTATGTTTTTGTTCACCATATATGGTTTCGGTCCCTCTTTCCACATTCTCTTGATTCGCGCTCATCCCGAATTTGAATTTTTGGTTAGCGAAATTGAGGAGGATATTAAATTTGTGCAGAAAGTGCGCTGGGGATTTCTCGAACTCCGTTAATCCGCCGAGACCACTTCTGCCGAAGCCCGACACCTCTATCGCGGTCAGAGATAAGGTTTTACGAGAGCGCGGCATGTCCTTTAATGGATTTCGTTAATGAACAATTTTAGAGCGTTTTAGCATAATAAAGATTATGCTCCCTGATTTTGGCGAATTTGCTATACTCAAATTTGTTCAACAACAATTCTTTAATTTATATGGCAAAAATATGATCTTCATAATAGGATGAGTTCTGTTTCAACGTCCGTTGGAGTTCTAAAGGAATATCTCAGGAAAAATGCACCGATATCGGAATTAATATTTATTTAAACATGATCTTGCCGGCACCTTCACGCTGATAAGACGTCGTCGCGTCGTTTCGAGAAATTTTCCATTAAAAAGTCTCGACTTCATTTTGTATGCAAGTACTTAGAGCACTCCGAGCAGAGATGAAAGTTGTCACCTTATGTAACGCCGCTCTTTCGAAATAACACCGTGCGCTGGTGAAATATAACAAGCTAGTTTTATTCGAGAACGAATTGCGATAGATAAAATGCAATTTGCGAGAATGAGTTCATTTTTGCGCTTGTTTAGAAAGACAATTCAATGCAACGATTTGTTTTTGTTGGGATGACTAGAATCTAGTCTTTTTTTGCTTAGGGATGTCTTTAAATTATTTTTTTTTACTTCTTGAAATCTTTAATTTAATGCTTTAAATAATATACATATGTAAATATTCATTAGTATGATTGTGCATTCCTACACTGTAATAAGTATTCACTATAGTAAATTGATTAATCACATTTTCTTCGATTGTAACATGGGTGCTATATATTTTGCTTATATTTAAATAAGTACCTCCAGTAATTTAATTGGAGACATTTGAGAATAAAGTATACACAGAGAAAGCTAATTTGAGGACCTAAAATATACAAAATAATACAATTGTTAATAAGTATATCTACATGTTTGAATGTACCTACTTGTAAATAAGACACCATATTCAACTCATAGATATTATAAACATTCAATGTTAAATTTTGCTGGCTATGTTGTAATACGAAAGTCAAATCCTTCTTTATTTCATTATTAATCACTATCCATTTAGACCCGAATAAATGTTCGGGAAGGAGATTGATCTAAAAATAAATTTTATTTTATAGTTTTATTATATAGTTTTATATGTTTAAAATTTAGTAATATATTAGTATACAGGATTTTTTTTTCACCTGATAATTGAAGATGCTGCCGACAATACAATAAAAAGCCAATTGTTGTAAGTAAGCAATTACCATTGATAATGCAAGTGCTGTTTCGAAAAACGTATTAACTGCATAATTCTATAATAAAAGAGTAAAAATTTATTGGTTATTATGTATAGTGAAGAAAAGGGTAATTCCTATAGTCACACTGTTGCAGCAACTTTCTTGACAATTAGGTAATATGTATTTTTTAACTTGTTTTTAACACAGAATCTAAATATTTTTGTACTTGCCTGTACTAGCATATAAATAAGAAGGCACATTGACAACATGACAGTCGACCATTCTGTTAATATGATTAAATTGAAAACGGCATTTAACTTTTTGATAAATCTGAAAAGAACATAAATTCTTGTCGATTTTGCCACAATCATACATAAATAACAATCACCTGAGAAGAAGAAGGTGATGTTTAACGCATTTTTTTAAATACTCTTTGCACAAGTCGTCCATTTTATCCGATTTAATGATATTATTTATGTCCAATTTGTTCATTATTTCAACCATTTCGTTTGAATTTAGTAGCGACAGGCATTGTTGCAGAATTTTAAATTGGATGATTACGCTAACTACGGTACACAAATAAAAGAAATCTGTTCCAATGACGTATAAGGCAAGTATATGAACATAAAACACTTGAGATAGATATATCAACTCGTAATTTGGCGAAACTTTCCAATCAAAAGAATACTAAAAGAAAAAATTTTATAGATAGCACTACATTTTTAATTTTGTATAGCGGTGGAATATTTTGTTGGAACAAACGTAGTAAGAAAAATTTTTACCTCTACATTAAATGGTAGTATTCTCTCTTCTATCAATAACGGCGTAATAAAGAATATAGAAAAAAACACAGCAACTGTTCCGAGGAATACAAGACAAGTACTCATAGTGAAGATGTAAAATTTCTTAATTTCTTCATCTACTTCTACATAACCAGTTAAATCATCAGGCCAAAATTTCAGAGATATATTATCAATTATATCAGCTATATCCTTGAATTTGATTGACATTAATATTATTTTACTAACACCCTAAAAAATCTCATTCAAATGACTCAATTCAAAAGAGAATACGTTAAATATAAATACTTGAAAACAACTCATAATAAGGAGGCTACCGATTAAATTATGGTTAATAGACTCAAAGGTAAAATTTAAGGTATTTAAAAGTCCTATTGCCGTAAACGATATTATGAAAATGGACCCCGAAGTGACTATAAATCTACGCATGAGAGAAACTTTTGCTTTCGGCCACATGACAACAAGTCCAAGCAATATTTTGGGTAACCAAATAACCATTTTTCCATAATATTTGGTTTTCATAATTTTGTAAGCAATTTCTAAAACATATAAAATATTATAGTGGGCAAAATAAGTATGTAGTGGTGATTATAAAAATAAATAGGTACTAATGTATATTGTTACATACCATCCATAATCATTGTGTTTCACTTAGTTATTCAATCTTACTAGTTTACCTGCATTCCTTACTGGACAGACTAATTCTGAAACTTGATAAAATTGTTTTAATAGCTTTAATGATGCTTTAATAACTTTTTTATTAATTAGCATAAGAATAATTTATGTTTTTAATTACGGATACGATAATACATCGAAATACGAAAGCTGGCGTTCTAATTAATTTTTAATATTCATAATTTCTATTTTATTTTTATTTAATTGCTTTGTAATCAATGAAAAAGTATTCGCTGTGCATTACTTTTGATTATGTAGGTTGATCGAATTTTGCACTGAGAAAATTCATGAAATTTTCGGCAGCTGTCTTTTTTATTTTTTACTCATAGACAATATTTTAGTTATATTAACAATAAATAAGCTAGAGTTTCATAATTTGCCATCGCTTTTTTAATTCCACTTTAAAAATGTACACGAAAGTGTATGATATAAAAAATATAGAAATATAAAATTGAGGTTTAACATGTAAATTTACTTCTTATCATAAATAATGGATGGGAAAAGCGTTGCCCATGTCATCTGTCAAACCCTTCGGTGGCTTTGATTGAAACTGAAAATGAATAATAGAGAATGTTGAGAAAAAAAAAACAATAAAACTTAAAAATACCGAATTTCCTGAACCTGTGTAGTTATTGATCACTATATGCTCTACAAATAGTCTCAAATATCTAGAATTTATGATTTATTAATATTTTTGTTTAAATTAACCACTCTTATCTTTCTTTGTTCAACTTATAGAATTGACAATATTGCAAACAGATTTGTGGTACATTTTTATTTATTATTTATTTTGTAGCATGCTGGATTAAAGGACAAGAATTATTTATGCTTTTAATTACAATACTTCATTAACTCATTAAAGAGTCCCTTTGAAATTTACAACAGTTATGAGTATTTGATTTTAATTTTTAATAATGAATAGAAAATAGTAAAATCGATTATGGATTCTGTAACAATGTCTTATATTCCATTTTCCAAAGGACCAAAATGCCACCATTTCCACTAAAAAAAATCAAACAGAAACCTGAAACCTCATCGGATTTAACAAGCTAAACTAGCCCTGGGCAAGTCAGGGTAAATGGAATATTTAAATATCTATCTACAAGGTAGGTGCCAATTTATCGACGAAATGGATAAAACAATAATGTCCCAGGTCGGCTCTTTAAACCGACATTGGTTGTAAGCTTGATTGAGCGGGATTTGCCTTGATGGGTACATGCCTAATTAGAGCGTGCTCTTGCATTATTTGAGAAATTCATCAATGCAACCCATTGCGTCGCGAGTCGCTATTAGAGCTCGCTCTAATGAGGCTGGTGTATTCCGTACGACTCTCCCTTAGCTCTTATCGCGCACTTAAAGGATATCTCGGAAAAAGTCTCGGGGTCAGGATGGAAGGCGTTTTATGCGCGGCATATTCTATTTTTCACCTTTTTTGTTTAAAGCAAAACCGTATAACAACGCATTCATTATTAAGGCTTAATTAGTTGTGGTTTTAAATCTAGTTTAGCTATAGGTACTATTAAGAAATGCCTTTCGTTCTAGTTAGCGTATTTCAAATGTTGCGATCGTTATTCGAAGTTTTTAATTCTCGACAATTCAGGCGGCTACATAGCGAAATAAAGCTTTAAACTTCAAAGAGCTTCCATACAATAATGATTATGACGAGAGAACGGGTACAGAAGATTGGAGATTCAGATAGGCAAGAGATGAGGGTAGGTACTATGTAATTAGGTTCTCTATGTATTTTACAGAAATCTGCCACTTAATTACCTTTGCGATCGCTTTGTTCCGTAACTCGTTTCATGCGTAAAAAAGCTCGATTACACGGCCGTATAAAATGGATTTCTTTTTTATACACGAAGGATTCAATTAATCGATTTTATTCGATTTTATTATAAAAAATAAGGTTCATTTTAAAAAAGAACTTTGGAAATTATAGATTATGGAAAATTATTAGTTATGGCAAAAAGTTCCTTGAATAGAATAGAATAGCGCATAATTCCATAGTTTATTATTTTTATCGTCTGTGTTTTGAAGATGCCTCTAACAGGGAAAATTCTGCATTGCAATTTAAGCGCTTATTATTACGATTCATTATTTAGGAAATATCCTTTAATTCAAAACATGACGGAATATAATGAATAAGCAAATGAAAAACAGAGCAATAAATACATTTCTTATCTATAGCGAACGATGGCCGTATTATCGAACCGCTTCCGACAGTTCTGCTAGAGCTAAATGCCTAATATCAATCATGTCCCACGATAACCCTTTTACCTAAAAGGTTCAGGCTAACGCTCAGCTCCCATGAATCAATTTCTGCCCGATTTCGATCGTTTATTTTCTACGAATTAGCGCGACTCTTCCGGATCGTGTATATTCATCGGCAGCGACGTGTTTTCGATAATTGAGAGTTGTCGAGGGCACTTGGCCGTTTTTCCGAATTTACATTCTCTACATCCAATTATTCTGAAACGTGTTTATCCGTATTTACAATAAGTAGATACAAATATAGGTAATAATACCTACGCATTAATTCACTGCTATTAATGATGTACTTTGTGTTATAAACAACACATACCTACCTACTTTTTAATCAACAGTAAGAAAGTCGCTTAATAAGAATCTTTGAGCAGTAAATTTTATTGGCGCTTGAATTGAAAAGTACCTACACCCTAGACGTCTAATAATATGGGAAAGCATCGCAATTTGGCGATAAACGCAGCTCTAAATCTGAAATCATCCCATTATTTCTTTCCTGATTAACGAAATAAAAGAAACAACGTCGAAGGAAATCACGTTAAAACTTCCTCAGGAATGGTCATTAACGTCAGCAGAAGATATTTATAGAGGCCGATTGTGATCAATAATTCTTTAAGTACTCCAATAAAGTTTCCCCCTCGCCGGCCCGACTCTCAATTTTGTTCGTCGAAGGGGTGTAAAAATCCATCATTTTATACATAACTTTGTATAAGGCGCAAGTTCTATGAATTTTTTATGAATCTAATTTATATTCCGCACTTGCGAAATTTTGTAACGCCGTTTAATTCAATCGGTTCGATATCGGAAAGTCATTATAAAAGTAATTTGAAAAAGATTTAGTATTTACAACGGTGTGTTTTACTGTCTAGCTAAAGCGCCTAACCCGGTTTTAATGTTGCTTCATATTTTACGCTTCCAGTCGAACGCAGGCCAATTGTACTACCATTTGGAGAATGAACGTTTTAAATGAAACTTAAATATATATGTATAAATATTTACAGGGCGAAGTAATTCTTAACGAATATCAGTATTTCGATTGATTTCATTTTTGTATTAAGATTTGGGGCAAATTTTTCAAAATTCAGTACCCTTTTATTCTTCCTTCATTATAGTTTTAGTAGATTACACATACAGTATTCCAAATGAATTATTCAATAAACCAGCCAAACAAATAGACGAATTTTTATTCTTTATATACATTAGTAGTAGAAGGATGTTAATATCGAAACTAGATTACATTAGACATTAGATACTCCGCGTAGATAAACCGGAGCCCGACTGGAATAATCCGGAGATCTCTGGCAGCGGGCCTGAACTCCTAATATAGCGGAAGGCAATATTAAGGCGTAGACATAACGTACTTGTTGGAATAATAACAGGACCCATTTGCGTAAAGGAATTAAATGTACGTGGTGCGCGCGAATGAAAGGAAGCTTATTTGAATTTTTATTAAAGCATGCATCATCGTTGACGGTGAGATTAGGGAGTTCTACGGCAGCGGCAATGTTACGATGGAAATGCGAAATATTTTTAATTTAATGAGCCGTAACTGGATTTAAATTTTAATAAAAATTTGATTTATTTAATGTATTTTTTGTTATACATAAAATTGTCTGCCACACTTTAATATTTAATTCGATACAGGGTATCTGAAAGAGGTTGGGACAAGGCTTAAATTCGGACTTCTGGGATAAAAATAGAATTTACTAAGAAATTTTCATAAAAAAGATATGTCATTTTGGCCCAATATCAAAAAATTCTTTTTTATTTGTAACTTTAACACCTTGTAACTTCTTGACTAAACACTTTTAGAAACAGGTAAGTTAGGTTAAAGCATCTTATTTTTCCATAATTTTTGTGACATCCTGTATAAATGTGAATATGATGTCAGTGCAAAAAGCTTATCTAAACACGTAACTTTTCGATCTTACATCAAAATTTAATCTTTATTGTGTGCGCTGACGTGGAAAACGTATCTCAACAAGGTTTCTCTAATTCTCCCATTCTCCATTACGACCGTTAATCAAGCTTTCAAAAGCGGTTATCGTACGCCACGTATTAACTCATAATCACACGCACGAATGTGTGCAGAAATACGTATTTCCTACGGGGACAGAAAGCAAGATTAATCAGAGGGCTAGGTATTTCCGATATATTTGGAATTCGAACCAACAATTTTTATATGAATGTGGATATTTACTAATCTATCATAGTATACAATTTTCTTTCGTTTCGTTAAATTTATAATAGTGCAAACTTTCTATTTAAGTAATCAACTTACAGTTTACATTTTTTATTATAACATAATTAAATTAAATCATTGTATACATGTTCTTAAGATTTCTCAGCAATGGGGAGGTAAAGCATATGGAGAGGCAGGACTAAACATGACAATTTAGTGATTCATTAACCCCTGAGTAATTCCATCCCTAATGACGACACCATATTCATTTGAAAACCATTTTATACCACTAGTTGATGCCGCAAACGATATTACATTTCAGTTAATAACCGCCGCAAAGTTGTTTGGCGTGCGACTTTAATTAAACTATACAAATTGAAATTCTATAATATTTTGACATATGCCTTTAATACGTGTAATTATCGTTAGATCCGTTACCAAAATCAGTTCGTTTTTTATTAAAAGCTGCTCACATTAATTTAGCCATGACGTGATATAAAAATTTACAAATTGATAAATTGTGGAGTACCCACCAAATATAAACTATTCGTCAAAAAA